ATAGGTCCTTACCCTCAGTGGGAGTGATGACTTAAGAGTAGTAGGGTATAGTGATACTATCTTCTAGACTGATAAGGATAATTTCCTGCTCTCAGTCAAGTTGGGTCTTTACCTTAAACGGAGGAGCAATTACTTGGAAAAGTTCCAAGTTGGAGACAGTGGATGATTCAACTTGCGAATTAGAGTATATAGCAGCAAGTGAGGCAACGAAGGAGGCTATATGGCTAAAGAACTTCATTGGAGGCCTTGGAGTTGTATCGGCTATAAAGTAGCATATGGAAATTTTCTATGATAGTGAAAGTGCAGTTGCCTTAGCTAATGAACCAAGGGATCACGGGTGATCCAGACACATCGACAGAAAATATCATTTCATCAGACATCGAATAGAAGAAGGACTCATCGTGGCAAACAGGGTATCATCGGATGAGAACCTAGCAGATCCCCTCACAAAGGGACTGGGTAGGGTTAAGCATCTCTAGCATGCGAGGCTCATAGGGCTGAAGGATGATATTAATTTTAATAGTTAGATAGCTTTGAAATTTGTACAGTGTAATTGACATTTGATGATAAATAAAAGTTATTGTTTATTTATAAGTATAAGTATTTCTATCTTTTGTCAATCGTTTACTATCATTTCATTTTTGCATGTTTTGACCTCCAGAATAATTATGTTATGATATATCAAATTATTCAAATTCTCCACAGTCAATCATATGTTGGAAGTAGATATGAATCAAGAATGTTATGAGTTGGCTTGTAGATGTCTAAGTTGTTGGACTAGAAAGTGGTGCTACAACACTCATGAGTGCTTATAAGTTATGAGTATTGGATTCAACCCATGCTCAGTTGTATCACTTCATGGAATTTATCTCGAGTGATCGTGAGATGGTAATATCATATAAGTATTCAAACCTAGAGATATGAGTTGTTGACAATGAGTTGGTTATACATTGATTGTACGAAAACGCATTGGTAACTCGATGTTATAAAATGTGCCTTTGTGTATAATTCAACAACTAGTAGAACAAGCATATGAGTCAAAGTTTATTTGTTCCTTCTTGGATTAGAAGCGATATCTGGGCTCCTCGATGATTTTGTTTTGACCTATGTACCGGGCCCGGTCAGAACTAAATTGATGTGTTCAATTAAGTTCTATGTCAAACAAATCAGAAATCGGGAAACAAACTACTGGACAATAAGCAAGACATTGTTCCATGTATTTGTCTAGCTAATATGTAGCACATAGGATTATATGATCACTTATCTTAAATGGCGTATCATCATCATCTCAGTTCCGCGAGACCTTGATAGAGCTACAATTTTTAATCTATTCCTGAAGTCATTCTTGTAGTAATAGTTATTAGACTTATCCAAGTGGGAGACTACTGGATTAGGTGTCTAAGTTCATAACTATTTCTATAATGTACTTGACCCAGTTGGCATGGTCCATTTGGGTTGCATAGCATTGCAACACTTGGATAGACTAAGTGAGAGAGAGGACACTTAAGTATTATTAATATATTATAAGTTTTAATATATTAATAATATTATTGAATTAGTATTAATGAAAGAATTAATTTGGAATTAATTAAGTGATCAAAAAGAGACTAATTAAATATATGGGGTTGATTGTGTAAATAATCTATTCTTTTATATTTGGGCTAATGATCCATGGTTTGTATGGATTGGGTTAAAACCCATAATGTGCTACATGGATAGTCCATGGAGGTTACAAACCTATGGATCATGGAATATGAAAAGACATGACAATTAGGGTTTACATGATGTAACCCTACTTGTGACACAACTATATAAAGACCCCACGAATTACCAAAATTAGCACTACAAGCAAGTAATAGAGGGCTAGTCGATTTTGGGGTGTAAGTGATCTTCTCTCAAAGTTATTCTAAGTGTTGTGGTGTTGTGTGAGACATTTGAGGTATCACACTTGAGGTGCTAGGTTGATAAGGTTTAAAGGAATCCAAGCAACTAAAAGGTATATTCTTCTACTAGCATTTATTTTTTAAAAGTTCCCCATGCCATGCTAGTTAAGTTAAGAACCTTGGGAAATCATTTTTGGATGTATCTTAGTAAAACATAGATCCAAGGTTTCTAGGTTTGCTTGTACACCTTATGAGTGTTAGAATGCTCAAAACCCTTCAGTTCAAACCTTCATGGGTGATTTTAAAACTTCTTTTGAATAAAAAACTATCATGCCAAATAAAGCGATCACCAGCCTTGGTTCTACACTCCAAATAGAAAAGGCAGCTATTACGAAGGTTCGTACTGAAATACAAGCTGGCAATACGGAGTTTCAAACATCCATCTCGTCCGAAATTGAAAAGCTTCAGGAAGATTTGGCAATAGAGAACAAGATCATGGATGAACTTGTTGTTCAAACAGAAAAGATGAAGGTTCTATTTGTAAAGTTATCTTATGCGAATAAATAAATTGATGAACTCAAGTCTGAGAAAGTTGTGATCAATAGTTGTGTAGTTGGTGTAAATGCTCACTTGCATAATCTCATTGAGACTTGTGATTCACACCTCATAGTTTCTGTTCGTCAGCATCTTACTGAGAAACTAAAGCCCATTTTTTCCATGCTTGACCGAATTGGGGATTTTTCGTAATCCTTTGCAATTCGAAAACAATGGGGAGAAGCAAAGAAAGTATCAGGTGAAGAAATTAAGAAACCAGCTTGTAGCTATGATAAGCACGAACAAAAACCACCCAAGTCAAAAGATCTGAAGGATAATTTAGCTTCGGCATCAAAAGGAAAAGAGAAATTGGTTGATGATGATGAGGAGGAGGAAGAATAAGAAGATGATGAAAATGAAAAATTAACACACAAAGTCTTGGGACATAGAGATTGATGAGAAAATACAAATAGCCAAGGAAGTTGAAGCTAAAGGAATGGAAGCCCGTGAAGCCCAAGTCACCCTGGAAACTCAAAAGCTTCTATTTCCTGCCTGGTCCATGGGGTTTATTTTGAATGAAGCCATTGATAATCTAAATATTTACTAGCTTGAGCCTGTATTATCATTTGATTTGGAGAACTCTTTAGATTCACAACTTGATCTTCCAATCACATAGAAGGCCTTTTAGTTTCATAGCTTTGACAAGATTGCAAATGTTTCTCTTCCATACCATGAAATTGATTAGGTGCTTTTATCGTTCTATCTCAAGCACATAAAGCCTCAGTACCAAACCTGGAGCTCAAAGAAAATTACTCTTGTCAAGGTTTTTAGACCAATTGAATCTGAGAGCTTTATCAATGCTCGTTTCAAGGTTGCTCGTGGGGAAGCGAGTTCTGTCTTTGAATTTACTCTGGCTGATTTTCCCTACCTTAATCCATAAAACTGGATTTCTCTGTTGCATCTATTGCTAAAGGATGAATAGTAATTCGAACCTATAGTTGCACATCTTAAAAGAATGTTGGTTGGTTACATCCAAGAAATTAGGAAGATGGATGTTGAAATTGCGACTGTCCTTCTCAAGTAACCTACATTGCTTCCTATGGAGCCTCCTAAAGATCTTGACAAGATGAAACTGGGGAGAATACTAAAGGATGATTGAAATGTGGCATTTGAAATACAAGAAAGAGCTAATGCTAATTTTCAGAGTTTGCTTCTTTCTATCTGACAAGCATCTATACTCCACCCCATGCCTGGAATACATTTTGGAGTCTATAAATTAGTGCAAAGCGAACAGTGTTGCGGACAATAAATGTTTATCAAATATACTCAGCTAGTACATCTTATTTCCCAAAACTCTGTTGGGAATGATGCCAAAACTTTTCAAAGTTCAAAAGTGCCAACAGAACTGAAGAATTTGCTTTCCTTATTTGACACAAAAGGAGGAGATTGTTGGGTTATTTAATAGATTATGTCAAATTTTGTTATTTATGCATTTAGCCTTTTTACAGATTGGGCATACCCATTTGTCTTGATGTTGCTAGGGCTAGGCTTTAAATACGGCATGCATGTATTGTATTAGGGTGAATCGTTTTTTGTGATTCCTTACCGTGCCTTTACAGTAGAAGTTCTTAATCGAGATCTTCCAAGGCATTTATTATTAATCATTCGACACTACTTTGATCAATGCATTCATTGTTTGATTTACTTTTCTATTAAGAATCTTTTGATCAAATCCTAATTATTCTAACAAAACATCGAATTATATGAAAAAAAATCAATTAATTCTAACTTCATATGATTGAGATATGTACATTTTACAAAGCGGAAGAGATTCCAAAAAAGGTGTTGAAACAAAAAATATGTCGCATTAACATGATGTCTTAGCCAGTTTAATATATAGCGAAAATATGTGTTTGAATAGTCTAAAATGAAGTATAAATATCAAATTACATATTAGAAAAAAAATCAAGTAATTTCGAATTCATACAAGTGATTTATACATATTTTAAAAAGCAAGAAAAATTCTGGTCGGTTTCGGTTTTATATCAGGGTTTTGTATAACCCACAACAAAAGAATGTAACTTTAGCGGTAACACAAATCGTCGCAATTGATGTCCCTCGTCGTCGCTAAAGGTATTAGCGACGACATGTCGTCGCTAAAGGGTTGTCGCTATTACCTCGTAGATAATACTCGTTTGTTGTCGCAAACAGCGTCGTCTCTAATACGTATTTGTCATCGCTGCAGAGTCGTCTCTATAAAAATTCCAGCCACCGGCCGGAGTTTTTCTAGCAAAGCTTCCCGGAGTTATTGATCATTGCAATTGGTCATTGCCATCCCTAAAGGTGTCGCTCCTAATGTTTTTTTTTAGAAAAAACATATTTTTTATGGTATTAGTTTATATATATTATAAAATCCATGTTTGATAAATATAAAAAAATAAATACATACCACATTAATTAAAACATCAAACATAACATATTACATAAAGCATCTAATGCATCCTAAATAAACATCTAATATACCATCCATAAATATCTAATAAATTCACAATAACATCATCCATAACATAAAAAGACGAAATACTATGTGTCTTCATCTTCCTCATCGTTGTTTTCCTCATTGTTGACTTGGTTTTTAAACGAAAGAATAATGTCTCCAATGGCCATCACAAATGTCGGTTTTTCAAGAAAAGTATTCACATCAACATCCTACAATTAAGTCACAAGCACATTAAGTCATAAACAATTCAACAAACTATCAAACCATCAAAGCACCAAATGAATTAAGTCGTTAACAATTTAACAAACTATTAAGTCGTGTGACTGTGACTGCCATTAGGATGGAGAACTTGTACCCGCGGCTGAAGAAAGTTTAAGCCCAATGCCTCTCACATTCCGCCTTCATGTACCCAACACCTTCTCAAATATTGCGATCCAATCAATGGTGTACGAATCACCACCAGAGTTGGCTATGTGACGAGCCTATAGAGCAACCTCAGCAACTAAGGCATTCTGTATTTCACAAAGATTGTTAATATACATTAAAACTAATACAAAAAAACCAACAATTTACTTGCATTTTAAGTAATATTAGCTTACATATTGGTCTTCAACCAAAGGATCAACAAATTCGCCTTTTTCATTCACATGTGCACTATGACATGCTTCAGGTCTATTCAAATTCAGTTTAACATTACAAAATATGTTACAATTGAATAAAAATTAAAAAATATGTTATAACTGAATAAGCATTATCATAACTTACTTTCTTTAAACAAGCACTACCATAGCTGCACGTCCTTCCACGATTCTTAACTATTTGCTTCTTCCGACATTCTTTGTTTCCAGCGGATCGTTTTTTATGCTTTTTTGTTAAGAAGTGGTCAACAACAGCATTCCAACACTGCAGATCCATACCCATAGGGGCTTGAGCCCTTACTGCCTCCACATCCCCTGCTTTTCTGTTAAGAAGTGGTCACCACCGTCTCCTCCATGACCCATCACACCAGCCATAAGATGGAGCAATGCAATCCAAAAAAATGACATTGTGAAAAATTATAACACAATATGAATATATATATATATATATATATACACACACACACAATAATATGATATGATTACAAAAATACAAACCTTATTTTACTAGTCAAATGTAAATATTTTTTTAATCATTCTCTCCCTCGGACACTTTAGTGTCTGCTCACACATCACTATCATAATCAATCTTGCAATCAGACACATTTTTAATGATACTCGTTGGTAGGTCAACTTCAATATCATCTTTAACTGATTGAGAATTTTGAAAGTACTTACTAAAGTTGATTGAGAGAGTGAAATTAGAAGAAGCATTACTAAGAACGAAAACAGTTGAATCATTGTCAACATTTTCAATGGGATCATGGCCGACATCGTTCATCGTTAGATCCCAAATTCTTCCATGATTAACATTTTCAACAACCCCACCGTTGATTGTCATTTTCGTCACTTCGAGAAGGTTCTTAGATGTAAAATACTTGCTTGGCCTACGTAGCAAATATGAGTTGATCTTCATTGCTTAATTTGCGTTGTGGGTTGATACTGGTGAAATTATTATTAGATTTATCTCATGAAGTATCGAACCACTTGCAATGAAAAAGTACGGTGGAATATTTATGAGGATAATGCAACTCGCTAATCTCTTCTAGCTGACCATAATATTTCTGCTTATTCTCTCCCTCAGTTAGAACCCTCGAGTTTTGTGTTGATTGTTGGGCATCACGCATAAGTACAATAAACCTAACACTATTCACTATGCACTCGGTGTAAGTAAAGGCATTTGCATGCGCACCCATTGAAAGACTCGATAACTCCTTGTTAAACTTTGGAGATTTTTGCTTTTGCATATCATAGACCTTATGAAGGAACCACTTAGGGAATTTGGTATTTTCACCACTTTTAGGATGTAATCATTTGAATTCACTACATTAAAAATAGACAATGAATTAAAAGATAAGAACACTTACGCAATATACTTTCTGACTTCCTCACAACTATCAAGCAAAAACCAATGTAGACGTTTTCTCTCCTCTAGACGAAGATTTTTCATTTTCTTTGTGCTAGCCGGTCGACACATAGACTGAAACACCCATAACATTGGTTCTTCTATGACAACATCCTCATCTCTTTCGAGGCGATTGAATCGAGTCTCGACATCTTTAAGGTACATCGTACAAAATGATAATGCCTCTTCAGAGACATAACCCTCATCTATAGAACCTTCCAGTCTCGCCTTGTTTCTAACATACTTTTTTAGTTTTTTCATATACCTTTCGAAGGGATACTTCCATCTCATACATACTGGGCATCCGAAAATAGCTTCATCAGGTAAATGTAAAACTAAATAAACCATAATTTTAAAAAATGCAGGAGGATAGATCACTTCTAATTTGCACAATATTTTAATAATGGTTGGTTTCACTTCTTTCATATCCTTCACCGATAGTGTTCTTGAGCAAAGTTGCTTAAAACCATACAAAGCACTATTATTGCTATATAAACACCTTTGCCCAAAAGATCTTTAACTCCGATGGGTAAAAAAACGTTGCATAAGAATGTGATAATCATGAGATGTCAACCCAATAATGTTAGTATTGGTTTCATTCACTTTTTAACGACGTTAGATCCAAACCATCTAGCGGTTTCACATTTCTTATAAACTTACAAAAACGAATGCGGTCAGGTTTCGTGAATGAGTAAGGTGGATGAGGTTTAAGGAACTTGTCGTCACTCTTTTTCAACCATTGACTTTTCCGAATGTTCATTTTTGTCAAGTCCACCCGAGCATTTGATGTGTCTTTAGACTTATGATTCATCAAAGAAGTACCCACAAGACTCTCACCCACATTTTTTCAATATGCATAAGATCGAAGTTGTGCTTCAGCTCCAGAGAAGACCAATACTCAAGTTCAAAGAGTATGCTCTTTTTAGACCAACTAAACTCGAAACCCTCACGGTCTCTCTTAATACTAGCTCGTTGAGCAACTACTTTACCCGATGGATGAAACAATAGACGAGCATGTTGTGCTTGTATTTCTTCCTCACTAAACTGTCTTGGAGGACCTCTTGTCTCATGTTCGTCATTATAGTCCAAACTTTTTCTCCATGGATGATCAATGTCTAAAAACCGGCGATGACCAACATATACGACTTTATTTGATACTCGGTATGATGGAGTGTCTTCGTTGCAAGTCAGATAAACTACTACGAGCTGGAAAGTCGTTTATTGTCCATAACAACATTGCTTTCATATTGAAGAATGTATATATCGCTGTGTCTTTAGTACATACTCCAAAACTTTATAGCTGCTTCAACTCATCCACCAACGGCCTAAGGAACACATCCAAGTCCTTCCCGGGTGCTTTAGGGCCGGGAATCAACAAGGTCAACATGAAAGATGAATCTTTCATGCATAGCCATGGTGGAAGATTGTAAGTGGTGAGTATGACGGGCCACGTGCTATGAGGATTACACATGTTACCAAGTGGATTAAAACCATCAGCAGCAAACCCTAAGTGTATGTTTCGGGGTTCCCTCAAGAAGTCAAGATACTTCATATTGAATATTTTCCATGAAGTACCATGAAGAATCGTACCATCTTTAGATCGTCCGGTATTGTTCCAAATCATATCTTTAGTTGTGTGTCTAGAACAATACAAACATTGTAGTCTTGGGGTCACAGGAAAGTATGGTAAAACCTTATAAGCCACTTTCTTACCCTTTGTATTTTCATCAACCCACCGACGCTCATTACAAACTGGACACTTTTTCAACAACTTGTGTTCTTTCTAGAAAAGATAGAAGGCGTTTTTACATATGTGTATCGACTCATAACCCAATCTGATCTTTTTAAGTGTCTTTTTTGCTTCGTAATGTGACCAGGGGAGGGGGTTGTTTCCTTGAGGAAATGCAGTATGCAACAACTCAAGAAGCTGATCGAAAGAACTATCAGTCAATTTGTTGATCAACTTGATATGCATCAGCTTTGCTAAAAAGTCAAGGGACGAAGACGAACATCCATGATATAATTTTAATTGGATTTCCGCTAACAACTTTTGAAATCCATCATCGACACCGCTATCGTCAGTATATGGGTTCCCTTCTTCGCGGTTGGTATCATTTTCAATCACACCCCGTAACATCAACAAAAACATCGGTCATCTCATTACCATGCTGTATGTCTTCGACAACCGGGTGAGTTGTATTTTCACCGTTATACTTCCATATAATATAATGTGGACTAAAACCATGTTGAAGTGTATGGAATTTCATTATGGCTAGTAGTATAAATTTAATGCCAT